TTTTTTTAAAAAAAATCTTGATGGTGAAGGAGGTACTTTAGAAAGATTTATTTATTTGATGCCTATAGCTGTCCATCTCAATCAATTATTCTGGGCAGTTTGCAATTCCAAAACTATAAAAACATCCGAAATATACACAGCAGCTGAGATAGTTAACCAATTAACATAAAAGCCAAGATCTGGGAAGACGGAATCTGCCAATGCAAGCAGATGTCTACTTTCAGATATACTGAATTCTTCCTTCAGTAAACAAAGAATTTGGGAGCATAAAAAAACCCCTTCTCATAACTTCTGCCTTTTCTGCAGCAAAGATCCAGAAAAAAAACCTTTGCAGTCCTTGTTTTTATTTCTTTCTTTATCAAAGAGACTTTTACATTTGCTAGAGATTATTTAAATCAAAATTGGACTTGTGATTAAGGATTTGGATCTATCGTAAACCAACAAAACCCTTTTATATTCAGCCATGGAAGTTATTTGTACTTTCTTCCTCCTTTCTGGGGCAAAATATTGTGTTTAAAACAAAACAGTTTTAAAAGATGTTTGTGATCCTATCTAAAGTAAAAATAATTTCTAAGAATAGAAAAGTGGGTGAAGTTGTTGTGGTTGTCCTCTCCTCTTCATCCCAAGTATTTTTGTTTTCACCAAATATTATTTATTTTTATAATAAGAGGAATATGCAACTATTCAAACAGGAAATTCAGTTCAGTAGTAGTCTGATCACATCTCAGAATCAAATTTACTTTTTGGGCTGAATTGAAAAGTCACACTCTATCAGAGACCACCTTCAAATTGATTTGACCAATTGTTTCAAAAATTCAGACCAAACCAATTGGACAGTCAGATCGGAATATCTGAATTGAATCAGATCGGAATATCTGAATTGAATCAGATTGGTTTTCTAAATCAAACAGGATTACATCAATTGTCTGAATCACATCAATAGTCCAGAATTGATATTACCTGCTTCATGCAGATCTGGTTGAGAACTCCCTAAGCAGTTGGGTGGGGGATGTTAAATTTTCACTAATTTTTATCTGATCTAAATCTGTTGGTTTTTTGGGGCAATTAAAAAAAACTTTCAAAACTTTTTCCTACAATGAGAATGATCTCCCAGCCTGCATTAAAAAAAAAATCCTAAAGCTCAATTAAGACTAAAGTTTTTTTAATACCATACAGCATACAATATTTGTACAGAGAGGAAATTAAGAGTGTAGTCTGACATTTTGGAAATTACCTGGCTGGATCAAAGGTGTCATTCTGTTACCTGGCAGGGCAAAACATCTGACCCGGATGCCCTTAGATTAGAAAGTCCCCCAGATATAAATGTAAAAAAGATGTGAAGACTCTAGAAAGAGTGCGGAGAAGAGCAACAAAGAGGATGAGGGGACTGGAGGCTAAAACATATGAAGAAAGGTTGCAGGAACTGGGTATGTCTAGTTTAATGAAAAGAAGGACCAGGGGAGACACAATAGAAGTCTTCCAATATCTCAGGGGTTGCCACAAAGAAGGAGTCAAGCTATTCTCCAAAGCACCTGAGTGTTGGAACAAGAAGCAATGGATGGAAACTAACCAAGGAGAGAAGCAACTTAGAACTAAGGAGAAATTTCCTGACAGTGAGAACAATTAACCAGTGGAACAGAAGTTGCCTCCAGAAGTTGTGACTGCACCAACACTGGAGATTTTGAAGAAGACGTTGGATAACCATTTGTCTGAAGTGGTGTAGGGTTTCCTGCCTAAGCAAAGAGTTGGACTAGAAGACCTCCAAGGTCCCTTCCAACTCTTATATTATATTATAAATGTTTATGTAGTCCTCAACATACAACCATTCGTTTAGTGGCTGTTTGAAGTCACAACAGCACTGGGAAAAATGACTTACAATCGTTTTTCACACTTACAACCGTTGCAGCATCCCCACAGTCAAGTGATCAAAATTCAGATGCTTGGCAACTGTTTCACATTTATGACGCTTGCAGTGTCCTGGGGTCACGTGATCCCTTTTTGTGACCTTCTGACAGGCAAAGACAACGGGAAAGCGAGATTCACTTGACAACTGTGTTGCTAACTTAACAATGGCAGTGAATTACTTAATAACTATGGCCACAAAGGTCGAAAAAGGCTCACTTAACAACTGTCTCACTTAGCAGCGGAAATTTTGGGCTGTAAGTCTAGCGCTGCCTGTACTATTCAGGTGTTTCCTGTGGCCTTCCAGGTGTGGGACCAAAAAGTAAAGTGGAGGGGGGGGATCCCTTGAATCTGTGAAATCAAATCTTTACTTTTCCTTCGTGCTGTGCCTTTAACACACCAGTTGTTTATTTCTGGCTAGATTGCCTAGCACGGAGTCCTGTTTCCCATAAGTGCGAAGTAGGGCATGAAAAGGACGGTATGCTTTTCTAAGCTGTCCCTGCATAACAAATTCTGAGGTAGACTGCCAATAAAACCCGGGTCCTATTGCTCTAATGACCACAGAATTGCAGGCAAGAAGGTAGAAAGGTGGTAGCCTGATGCCTTCCCAGTGGGAGTTGTGTGTTTGGGGGGGAAATTGCCCACTTTGTTTTATAACCACCTGTTGGAAAAACATGTCCTTCTGGGTTCAGTTCCAAGTGGGGGGAAAAACACTGGAAACATGGAAGCTGCTTGGAAAGAGGGTTTAATGTGGGACAGGATCACATGGCTTGAGCTCCTGAACAGAAAAGGGGGATCACATGCTTCCGGATGTTGGGTGAAGAAGAAAAAAAAAGGGCTGAAAGTCCCTGGTTTTATGCCCTCTCTGGCCTTTGATTTTGAACTTGTATTCTGATTGGTTGTCAGACTCCCCTGGGACCATGCAGGGGCAACTCTTGAGGCTGTGTTTTGAGTCCAAGTTGAGTCCAAGTTGAGTCCTTGCTGGCTGATGTAATTTTCCCAGGTGCCTTGTAGTGAGTTTCTGTAGACAGATAATCCTACCTTTGCTATGTAGAGTAGACTAGATCAGGCTTTAGTGGCAAAGGTGGTGGGGTGGGGGCAGGAAGCTCCAGGGAGCTACTTTGTCTTTAAAAACACATTTCTCCCTTTTCATATCCAGGGAAATATAAGATTCTGCCTTCTTAATATTTCCTAGGATATTTCATTCCTCTAGGAGAGGGGTGGGCGCTAACTTCCTACTACCCCTGAGTGCATTTTGTTAAAAAAAATAAATTACATTTACAGTCAGAGACCAAATAAAAACCGTTTCCTTTGATCTTCAACTAAGGTTGGCAATGCCAGCAGGTCTGGGTGGGGTGGGGGTGGGGGTTCTGTTCCCTCTGCATTTAAATTTGGCAGAATGAAAAAAAGGGTTAAAAGGATCTATGCAATTCTGAGCAACAGCACATCTGGTGAGTTTCCTGCTTTCTTTGGAAGAACAACCAATCTCTCTCTCTCTCTCTCTTTTCTTTTCCAAAGAATTTGTCTGCAGTTAAATCATTGCAATATGCAAGTCTATTCTTTGCATTCAACTGGGATAAATAAAGGGTGAACATTCCTCCCCAACCCCACAAATAGAGATACCGTGGAGAAGGTGTGCCCCAGGGTCACCTAGTTCCATCAGACTAATCTTGCTTAAACAGGAGTGAGTGCTCTTCAAACAGAGAATGTCCTCCCTGACATTCCTAGCAGCACCCATTTAGCAAATCTTTTAAGAAATCACTGGGATATGTAGTCAATCAGAGCATGAAATTCACGCTTTGACACTGGAACTTGGGCTGGTGATAGCTTCTCTTTCACGAAACAAGGAAAAAAGATTTGCCAAATGTTCCCTTGCTTTCCGGTCTTTGGGATGGAAAGTTCAAGGACCTGCAGGATTCAGGGTTGTTGATTTTTAAATAGCAACCAGACTGATGGTTAAGGTTTACTTAAAGTGTTACCGAAAGCATCACCACCGATGGCTGTCCAGCGCAGAGTCCATTGCCTGTCTGGATTATTGCCCTCCAACCTTCTTAGTTCTTGTCAAGACTACAGCTTCGTTAATGTTTAACAGTAGCAAATCAAAAAGGGGATTAGATCCTGTGCGGCTGCTGCCTGGCACCACCGCAGCAATGCCAAGGGTGCCAGTTGGCCTCTCTCGAACGTTCACGGAAAGGGAAACTCTTAATATTTGCTGGTCCTGTCTTTTGAGCTCAGAGATCACCAATTATGAGAAATGGGGGGGAGAGCTTCACCTAGCCCAGGGCTTCTCAAACTATGGCTCGAGGCCCAGATAAGGCCCACCAAAGCCCATGGGAGACCATGAGGCTGCCCCACCCACATCACCCCGCCTATGTGCCAGTCCCCACCTGCCTTCTGGAGGCCAGGGTGGCCAAAATTGGCCCCATTTTTTTCCTCTCTGGCTTCCAGAGAGAGGGGGGGAGGGAGAGGGGGAGAGACACACACACACAAACAGAAGTCCCTCATACACACCTCAGGGCAGCCACATTCCTTCACTAACCTGCTTTCCACCCCCAGGAGCAAAACAAAGTTTGTGTGTATTGCTTGGACTGCTAAATTGACCATGCCCACCTGGTCAGATGACTCCCCCTAGCTACACCCACCTGGTCACACGCCCACCTAGCCATGCCCACCCAGCTCATCCACCCACCCACCCCCACAACAGTCTGAGGGATCATGAATTGGCCCCCTGTTTAAAAAGTGTGAGGACCCTGGCCTTTTTATTTTCCTGCTTTGGAACAGCCACTGGGGATGGGGGTGGACAGAAGGTTGAAAAACTGCAGCAACTGTAAGGAAGCCCCTTTAGCTTTGTGCAATAATGCCCAGCTGATGGGAAGCCCCTCGTTGAGTGGTCTCCTGAGAGGAAAGATCTGCAGCCAAACCTCGCAGTAAGAGATCCAGTTCTTGAGGCCTGACAGATCGCCCCACACCTACATCTAAGGTACTTCACCCCTTGGCTTTCTCTGAAATATACCTTCTATCCTGTGTAGGACTTGGCACTGGTGGCTGTCGTTGGTACTTTAAATTGATACTAAAAACTTTCTTTTCTTCCATTTTAGAAGCTGCTGTTCATCCATATTCTGGTAAGTGAGAATGAGACAGTAGCTTTACATTCCAGCATTTTTAAAAAAATAAGAGACATGCATTTCATACAATTCCCCCCCCCCCTTTTGTATACCAGTTGGATTATTGTCAAGTAGCAGAAATACCGTAGTGGATTTATTTAAAGAGATGGCTGCTTACTGGAAGCTGCCCAGTGTTTTTCAGAATAATATATATTTTTTAATGTGGATGTGATTCTCTCTGAAATGACCAGGCTGCCTCTAACCTTTGGCCAAGAAGAGGTTTTCCCTTTTGGTTGCGGTGTCAGGAGCTGAGCCTGGATCTCTTGTGTGCCTTGTGCCATGGCTCAACGAAGCCTTTGCATGAACCTCTTGGCCTGTTGCCCTGCACTTGCGTCCTTCAGCTAGAACAGGAATCGGCAACCTGTGGCTCTGGAGCCGCATGTGGCTCTTTCATCCCTCCGCTGTGACTCACTGTCACTGCCACAATTTTGAGAGGAGCTTCCAATAACGTGGGGTAGGAAGCACGATGCACCAGGAGGAGACTCTATGGCAAGGGGCGGGTTTTCTGGTCAGCTCCACAATTGATAGGGCTTTTGTTTAGGACAGGTAGAGGAAAAAGGATGCCACGCTAGGAGGAGACTCTATGGTGGGGGAACTGGACTTACGGTCAGCTCCAGAATTGAACGGTGGGGATTCCAGTTAGGACCTTTGTGGCTCTTTGTGTGTTTAAGGTTGCTGACCCCTGGGCTAGACGGAGCAGAGAGGCCATCTCCTCCCTGACTTTCGTTAGGTTTCACATCAATATGTCAATGGACGCTCCCATTTTCAGTAGAAGGCCTCTCTTATTATACACCTCCTTTCCTTTCTTCCTGTTGCAGTACCAGCGGATGCACCTAATCTGGAAAGTATGGTGGTGTCCGTAGTAAACATCACCGCCAAGGAAGGTTCCCGGACAGTTCTCACTTGCAAGAGCTACCGGATGGTCTGGACTCAGGACAATCTGAATGATCGCCAGCGGGTGGTTCATTGGGATCTCTACAGAAGCCAGCAGTCTGTGGAGAGGCTGTGCGACATGTACTCTGCCGGGGATCGACGGGTCTACCACACGTACAACCAGGGGCGGATCTCCATGCCCGAAAACGCATTTACGGAAGGCAACTTTTCATTGATGGTCCAAGGTAGCTGCTACCCTGCACACATCCATTAACCTTCTTTTTTCTAAAAGTAGAGTGTGGATTTATTCATTTACTTTAGAAAAAAAGTAGTTTCCAAAAGGGCTTGCCATAGTTATCTTAACCACAAAATCTAGAGAAAATTGTTTAAATTAAGATTATTAATTTAATCTTTCTCTATATATAAAAAAACAGCTGTGTGTGTGTGTGTATGTGTATGTGTTCCAACATAATTCTGGAACACCTCGAGCAATTTCAACCAAACTTAATGCACAGATGACTTACTTTGTCGAGAAAAATACTGTAGGGGTAAGACGCCCCTAACACCCCTCGGGGTGTGTGTTCTGTTAAGATGCAACCTGTTGTGCCTTTAAATGACTTCTACTGTACAGTACAGTGGAGTTGCCATGTTAATGGTTTCACAATACTCCACAAGGGGGCTCCCTCTGGTAAGGGGAAAAAGACATTAGAAATTACGTTTGGTTTGGACATTTCCCCCCTATAAATAAATACCCGGGCAACGCCAGGTTATCGGTTAGTGAAAAATAAAAACGCAGCAGGGTGACTTGTTCTCAGATGCCAAATATTTTCAATTCCTCCTTTGGGGCTCCTTCTTCCAAATGTGCCCATTGAAGAGCCTCATTTCCACCAAAGGAAAATATTGGCCCTCTCTGTGATGCAGTACATACCAGTGGGTTCCTTATAAACACTGAGTTTATTAATATATAATGCTGAGGTTAGTTGTGGGTTTAAAAGTTAAAAAGTGACTCTTACTGACTACATGGATTATGGCAGGTAATTTCCGTAGCCCCAATAGTGAAGCGGTTTGCACTTGCTGTCAACCACAGGTTTCTCTTTTCCTTCCCAATTTTGCCTACGGCTGTGATCTCTTGGTGATGCCCTATCCAAGGACCAATTAGATCCAACCTTGCTTATCTTTTTTCAAGTTCTGCCAAGATCATTGCCCAATTCACCAGCTTCATGACCCGAAACATCACTTTAGCTTTTTCCCTGTTAGTTTGTTCTTTTGTTTTGCACTGCAGATAGTAGTTCTCGCCCTTCAAATTGCTTATTTTCTAAAATGGCAGAAAAGTGAGGTTTGTAACCAGAAGGTTTTCCTAACATTTCACTGTAGAAGAGACTTTCTGGAGAAGTGGCAAGTTCCCCTCACGGATGTTTAAAATCAGATGTGCATTTGTTTTGAATACTTATAGTTACAGGATTCCTTCACTGCTGTAGATTGGACTTACTAAACTGGCAAGAATAGCCGACACCCTAGAAGATAGGCTCAAGATCCAGATGGATCTTGACAGAATTGAACACTGGGCCCTATCTAACAAAATGAAATTCAATGTAGAGAAAAGTTAAGTCCTACACTTAGGTAAGAAAAAACAAAACGACATATATAAACTGGGTGAAACCAGGCTTAATAGCAGTGACTGTGAGAGGGATCTTGGAATCTTAGTGGACAACCAGCTAAATAGGAGCTAGCAGAGTGCAGTAGCAGCCAAGAAAGCCAATGCAATCCTAATAGAGGGATACAATCAAGATCAAGTGAGGTATTAATACCACCCTATAAAGCCCTACTAAGACCACTGCATCCACTTTTGGTCACTATACTAGAAAAAAGAGGTTGAGACTCTAGAAAAAGTGCAGAGAGGCGCAACCAAGATGATGAGGGGGCTGGAAACTAAAACATCTGAAGAACGGTTGCAGGAACTGGGCCTGGCTAGTCTAGAGAAGTGAAGGTCCAGGGGAAACATGATAGCAGCCTTCCAATATTTGAAGGGCTGCCATAGAGAGGAGGGGAGTCAAGCTATTCTCCAAAGCACCTGAAGCTGCCAGATAAGGAACAATGGATGGAAACTGACGAAGGAGAGATTCAGCCTAGAAACAAGGAAGAACTTTCTGACAGTGAGAGCAATCAACCGATGGAACAGAAGTTGCCTTCAGAAGTTGTGGGGAGCTTCGTCACTTCAGACTTTCAAGAAGAGATTGGACTGTCATTTGTCAGAAATGAAGTAGGGTCTCCTGCTTGAGGGGGGGTTGGACTAGATGACTTATAAGGTTCCTTCCAACTCTGTTAATCTGTTAATAATTTATCTTCTCCCTGTCGTTCTGATATCTAGTGATCTAAACAATCTCCTTCTCTTCCTCTTTATTCCCCTAATCAAGACGTTGCTGAGAGCGACCAAGGGATTTATTCCTGTAACCTCCACCACCATTATTGCCATCTGTATGAAACGGTGCAGCTGCAGCTTGAGGTCACAGAAGAAGGTCAGCAGTTTGGGAGGGGGGGGAATGGGAGGAATGTAGGAGTGGGAATCAACAGGAGGGGGAATGTGCACGTGGCTTGTCTCTGCAACTTTATTTTTTGCTCCCCTTCGGTGTTTTTCTCAGTCATTAAATCATGTATCCCTGTTTGAAGCAATTTTGGAAAGGGGCCTTTCTACTGTTCAGCACGGAGCAAATGAGAAGCCTGGGGAGTTGTAATTTAGATGTTTGCGGCCAACCAAGCATTTCCCGTCACAAGGCTGCAGAGAAAAGGCCTGGAGGACTAAGATATGCTTTTGTTAGTGGAAAAAAAATGGGATTTGCCATTTTGGGGGGGGGGGGGAGAAAACCTTTCCTTTCAATCTCTGATGAGAAGTAATCTTGCTCTGATTGAGAAAATAGAAATATATCGATGCCCGAGCTGACCCTGTCATTATGCTCTTAGGGATCCTTGTTGGATTTCTCCCCCTTTCCTCCCCCATGCCCCGCCTTGTGTGTGTAGATGTAGGATTTAGGGCCAATGCAATCTCTTTGGCTGGATCCAGGAAAATTCTTACATTTTGTGTTCTTAATGAAGTTTTCTCTATGAGATTCTTACCAAGCAATGTCATTTGTAGACGGGAGGGTGGGTATTTTTTGTTTTTTGTTTGAAAAAAGATTATCACCACCTACAGACACCCCACAAAGGACATTTTAAAAGAATTTTCCAAGAGCTTCAATACAAGGAAGCAAAGAAAATCTACAATTTTCCTATTTTGGAAAGACTGGACTGGTTTGATGAAACTCAGATACTTTAGCCACCTAATGAGAAGGAAGAAGGACTCCATGGAGAAGAGCCCAATGCTGGGAACGATGGAGGGCAAAAGAAGAAGGGGACGACAGAGAAGGAGATGGCTGGATGGAGTCACAGAAGCAGTCGGCATGAGCTTCAATGGACTCCAGAGGATGGGAGAGGACAAGAAGGCCTGGAGGGATGTTGTCCATGGGGTCACAATGGGTCGGACACAACTTCACAACTAACAACAACAAATACCTTATATTGGAATAGGATGCATCTCATTAGAAAGATAGAGCACTTCCTAAAAAGTGCATTTTATATAAACAGCAAGCCTGCGAAGTAAGTTCAGCTGAGAGTTACAAGAGCAAGAGACCAATCAGCGACATGCCTGATATGGGACCAGAACTTTTTGTTTTTTGTGCATTTCATGCACTGGAGTTAGTCAGATTTTTATTTATTGAATGTTTATTAGATATTTTTGTGGCAATTCCTTTTTATGTCAAAGTTACAACACACCATTTGTACAGTCCCTCTGTCCTTCTGTGCAAAGCAGAAAAAAAACAAGGCAGACAATCGCCATCTGGATTTTGTCCTAACGAAGCCAGTGATGGAGACCAAGATACTGCTTAATGGACAATTTGGCTTGGCTGGCTGATGTTTAAAGCCAACTTCAGAATGTATGTTGACTCCTACATCCTCCCCTCAAAGAATCGGTAGAGAGAGTTGGAAAACCATGATGGATCTAGGTTTTATAAAGACTTAAGAAAATCCGTTCTGCCTTTGTACTTGCTTTTGCATTCTCCCTGACATCCAATTACTTCTTTATTAAAATTGCCTGCCGCCTATCTCTATGAAGTGACATTGGGCAGCTTATTATTGTAGAAAACATACTCTGAACAATATGGGCTGTGAAGGGTTCTAATTCTGTCTCGATGAGAACTGGAGGGAACAGTATGAAATGGCATTGTAGGAGATGACCAGGCGAGCCCAAGGGAGGGGTCAACTATATTAGTCGGGAATCCCTTCAGGCCCACAAGAGATTTAAGAAGAGGGAGTCAAACTATTCTCCAAAGCTCCCGAGGGCAGGACCAGAAGCAGCGGGTGAAAACTAATCAAGGAGAGAAGCAACCTAGAACTAAGGATAAATTTCCTGATGATGAGAATAATTAACCAATGGAACAACTTGACTCCAGAAGTTGTGAATGCTCCAACACTGGAGGTTTTGAAGAAGAGATTGGACAACCATTTGTCTGAAATGATATAGGGTTTCCTGTCTAGGCAGGGGGTTCCTGTCTAGGCAGGAGGACTAGAAGACCTCCAAGGTCCCTTCCAACTCTGTTATTCTATTCTATTCTATTTAGGTCCAGCCAGAGGTTCTGACCAGTTCACCCCAACCGGTAGCGAAAATTGTGGGTGGCCACCCGGCCTGGCTCTACACCATCCTATTTTTGAGCCTGGGCACATGCGCAGAAGGCGTGTGAGCGAGTAAAGCATATACATGGAAGGCCGGGCTCATGCACGGAAGGTGCCGATGGCAACCTGGTGGTAACAAAATGTGCAACCCGCCACTGAGTCCAGCCCACCTTGAATTCCTTTGAATTTTATCTACTGCCAATTTGCTTTGACCCTTTGTAGTTCAGATTCTTGTACAGAGCTTAAGTTTGCAATAAATCTTTCCCTTCATTTGAACTGCCCAATTTCACAAATTCCCTGGCATATCACAAGCCTCCCCACCAGCAAATTTATTCTTTTCTCTTGTGTGTGTGTGGTTTCTACAGCCGGGGAAGTCCAGAACTACTGGGATGGAGAGAAAGTGGTGGTCGTTGCCCTGAAAGGCAGTGCGGTGATCCTTCCTTGCATCAACCGGAACCAGGTTTGGACCGGACGAGATGAGGAGGAGGATCAACAAGTTGTCCACTGGGACAGGCAGCCCCCTGGGGTGCCTCACGACCGGGCCGATCGGCTTATTGACCTGTATGCTTCTGGCGAAGGCCGTTTGTACGGGCCTCTCTTCTTCCGGCAAAAGATGAACATCAATGAGAAGGCCTTTGCCCTTGGTGACTTCTCCCTGAGGATCTCATCCTTGGAGGCCGCGGACGAAGGGATCTACTCCTGTCACCTGCACCACCACTACTGCGGGCTCCACGAACGGAGGATCTTCCAGGTCTCAGTGGCTGAGCCAGAACAGGAAAATAAAGTGGTGGTGAATCTCACACGCCCCAATCCCCCAGCACCAGGTAAGCAATTGACCCACCCGTATTTTTCGGACTATAAGATGCACCAGAGTATAAAACGCACCAAGATTTTGAAGAAGTAAATTTTAAAAAAAGTTTTTGCACTCTGCAGGCCTCCATTTTTGTGAAGGGGGCGGGGTTTCAGGAGGCTAAAAATGCTGCATTGAGCGTATAAGATGCACTCAGATTTTCACCCTCTTTTTGGGGGGTCTTATACTCTGAAAAATACGGTAATTAAGCAATTAGCTTAAAGCATAATTGATAATTGATGTCTTAACAAAAAGGATGGTCTCTCTCATCCAAGAAGCATTTTTAAATTCCAGACGTTACATTCCAAGGACTGATGTGGAAAAAAAAATTGGACTTGCTAATTCCAAGTGCTTTGGGGAATAAAAGTATGTTTTAGGGCCGATTTTTAATTGAGGTAGTAGCCAGTTTTATTGCATTGTACTTTTCTTGCCTCTGAACCAAGGAGTCAGTTTTTCCATCTTTCTAAGATTAACTTTTTTTCTTTAAATCAACAGATAGAGGCGGGGAAAACCCTGCAATTTTAATAAACAAAATGCCTGAAAAATAAAGAGAACAAACCTATCAGGCATAGTCCATTGTTTATTAACAATCTAAAATATTCATTCCTTGTTTAATATTTATTCCCTGCTTAATAACATCCCTAGCAGTGCTGCTATGAATTTTTTAAATGGCCCAGTACTGCTAGGTTTTAGCTCTTCGAGGGATTCAGAGAGGATGCTGAGAAAATCTCAGGGACCATATGGCAGATCTTTCCAACCAAGCTCCTTCTAAATGGCTCAGGGCAACTCTCTTCACAGCATGGTGGACGGGGACAGTGGGACAGGTCCTAGAGGGGAGAAAGCTATCATTGCAGCAGCTTAAAGAGTGGGATGCACTTCTCTTTCTGGGCTCTTCTAGAGACATGGTTTGTTGAGGGTTGCAATCAGAAAAGTAACTATCATTGTGTTGTACCTTATGATTTGTGACAAATGTATCTTGTCTTTTTGTGTACACTGAGAGCCTATGCACCAAAAGCAAATTCCTTGTGTGTCCAATCACACTTGGCCAAATAAAGAATTTTATCCCATTCCTATCCCATTCCTATCCTATCCTATCCTATCCTATCCTATCCTATCCTATTCTATTCTCTATCCTCTATTCTATTTTCCATATTCTATTCTATCCCTATCCTATCCCATTCTCTATTCTATTCTATTCTATTCTATTCTATTCTATTCTATTCTTTCCACATTCTTTCCATATTCTATTCTATCCTATCCTATCCCATTCTCTATTCTATTCTATTCAATTCTATTCTTTCCATATTCTTTCCATATTCTATTCTATTCTCTATCCTCTATTCTATTTTCCATATTCTATTCTATCCCTATCCCTATCCTATCCTATCCCATCCCATTCTCTATTCTATTCTATTCTTTCCATATTCTTTCCATATTCTAGTCTATCCTATCCCTATTCTATTCTATTCTATTCTATTCTATTCTATTGAACTTGGCAAGGCAAACCCAGCCATTTCCCTTTTATTTCATTTACCTTGTAAATATAGCTCCCATGATCACTCTGAAGGCATTTCCTTTTCCCATTTCAATTATAAGCTGATAATGACTTTTGGTGGCTCCTGGGGGCATCATAATTTGGAGTTTCAAGGAAGGCACAGATGACCCTGGACCTCGGCCTGGTTTCAAGGGGAAAAGTCACAAGTCTGAGAGTCCAATTGCCATTTGCAAACGAGAAAGCAGAGGAATTGTTTGACCCAGTTTCTGAGCTGCTCCGCTCGTCTCTCTTCTTGCAGCTGCAACCAGGAAATTGGTCCCAGATCCCCAAGAACTTCTTTCTATCTTTTGCAGAACACTTTTTTTCCTCTTTTCAGCTAACTCAAGACTTCCGTTGGAAAATCCGTTCAAAGAAAACTCACTAACTCACTATTTGCAAGGATCTTTCTTTAATCGCAGAAGTTCAGTTGCTTCCTCAAACTCTCAAACTCTGGGAGGAATATACTTTTTGTTCCAAAGAGAGGAACGAGAAGCTTCTCCTTGGATTTTTTAGTGTCAGGCATAGTTCCAAGATTTGGAACCCTTTCCAACAGGAAATTTTATTCTGCTTACAAGATCAACATGGCCTACTTATTTTCACTCCGCCTTCCATCAAGATCTGCTGTTAACTCTTTGAGGCTCTGATTTTAAGTACAAGGTCACTCAGATTCCTATTCTTTTTTCCAATCAGAATTTTGGTGTGGATTGTGGGATCATTGCTAGGCTGCCTTTAAATATATGTGGCAGTTTGTTCCCTGGATTTTGTTATCTGCTTCTCCTCCGTTATCTCTCTCTAAATGTGGCTGCTCAGCAATGCTTTGTCCAAGGTAGATTTGCTTTGCATGTGGAAGTTTCATTACAAATCCTCAGAGTTTTATGAATTCCTTTTATACATACATACATACATACATACATACATACATACATACATACATACATATAATTTACATATGAGTATATCGAACACAGTGTGACAGTCCTGGCATTCCATCCGCCATAGAAATCAAAGACAAATAACAAATATACTACTTACACAATGCTGTCTTATACAATTATTTTTGACCAATGTATTCATTCTAATACATATATAATTTCAGGTCTACTTAGACTAATTTTTTCGTGTTCCTTCTCCCACCTCGTGTTTCCAGGCATTGATAAAATCTGTTCCATGCATCATAATATTCTGTCTCTCCTTTGTTTTTTAATTGTAACGTTACGTTAGTCTATCCGTTTCTGCGCATGTTAATATCTTCCTTATTATTTCCTTTTCTGAAGGGGTATTTTCACTTTTCCATTGCTGTGCATGCACCATTCTTGCTGCTGTCAGGATGTGACGCTTTGCTATAACCTTCTGTTATAATACCTAATAGAAATAATTCTGTCTTGAATTCCTTTCCGAAGGGCTTCTGTCATAGCATCTTCTTTCTTGTACTAGTTGACCAGATAACTGTAATCCTGATTATTTTTCTAAACGTCATTCAGAGGTAACAATTCTCTGCATGGACATTCTGTCTATAACTGTTGTGACTAGCAGTCACTGAGAGAATCTTCCTCCATGTTAACTGTGCCACAAATTAGCCCCTTTCCTTTTCTGTATCCCGAATAACGCAGAAAGCAGGCCGTCACTCCTTCCAAACCGATCCCCAGGACAATTATTTTAAAAATAGATGGGATGATATTACCATGCACAACATGTGCAGTTTAAGAGTCTAACAACTCTGAATCACATGATATTAATATCAGCTGATGTAAACAGTGACAGAAAACTCAGTGAAACTAAAATTTCTCTTTCCGTTAAAAGTGAGGGTCACCCCTAGACTCTGCTGCTGTTCCCCACAGACTAAAAAGGTAAAAGTTTCCCTCGCATATATGTGCTAGTCGTTCCCGACTCTAGGGGGCGGTGCTCATCTCCATTTCAAAGCCAAAGAGCCAGCACTGTCCAAAGATGTCTCCATGGTCATGTGGCCGGCATGACTCAACTCCCGGAGGCGCACGGAACGCTGTTCCCTTCCCAGCAAAGGTGGTCCTTATTTTTCTACTTGCATTTTTACGTGCTTTTGAACTGCTAGGTTGGCAGAAGCCGGGACAAGTCACGGGAGCTCCCTCCGTTATGCGGTGCTAAGGATTCGAACCGCCAAACTGCCAACCTTTCCGATCAACAAGCTCAGCGTCTTAGGCACTGAGCCACCGCGTCCCAGACTATATTCACCACTATGTCAAAGAAGAACTGGGAATGAGGACAGTAGCAGCCCAAGTCATCTAGGCAGCCCCGGGCTACACACTAATTTGAAAAATAAAGGTTTATGGCATCTCTTTGCATAGATCAAGAAAGGAGAATTTTTGTGGCTCAGGGTTGACGTGTAGGATCCTTGGTGCTCTCTGAGCTTGGGTGTTTTCTTGCAGACGTTTCATTACCCAGTTAGGTAACATCATCAGTGCTAGTGTAAAATATCTAGCCCTGGTAGTGTCTAGCACTGATGATGTTACTAGTTTGGGTAATGAGATGTCTGCAAGGAAAAAACCCAAGCTCGGAGAGCTCCCCTCATTTGCATTATCACTTGCTTGAAAGATGGCGGGAAGTTGGTTTTCACAGCCAGTTCAATCAACTTGTACAAGTTTCTACCATAAGATACAATCACATCCCTCCTACTGATGTTGTCAATGTGCTGATAACCGAACTAGGATTTCCCCTCGGGCCGGGCTGCTCACCCACCAGCCAAAATCTTCTACGTTTCATGTTTCATTTCAGCCTCTGGTTCTCCAGATGGTTTGCCTGAAGTTTCTCTGGCTTCTTGATGTCCAGTGCTGAACGTTTCTTCCCAGGCTGTATGTGCACATTGTGGCCTCAAGAAAAAATGTGCCAGTGGATTTCAAGGAAGAAAACATCACTGCATGCTGAAGTTCTATTTTCCTTAGAAACTTTTGCAATCGTTTTTCTTCCATTGTTTGGCGAGGTTGTGTTTTCATCTCTAAGGTTTCTCCAAAGTTATTCAAAAAGGAGTTTCTTTGAGATCTTCTGGAATCTTCTCTCTTTCTCGATGTATCCAAACTTCCCTTTTTTTCACATTGTTGGAAGAAACGTCCTTCTGGGTTCAGTTCCAAGTGGGAGAAAAGACACTGGAAACATGGAGGCTGCTTGAAAGATGATTTAATGGTGGACAGGATCACATGGCTTGAGCTCCTGAACAGAAAAGGGGGGATCACATGCTTCCAGATGTTGGGTGAAGAAGAAAAAGAGGGAGAGAAGCTGAAAGTTCCTGGTTTTATGCCCTCTCTGGCCTTTGATCTTGAGCTTGTATTCTGATTGGTTGTCAGACTCCCATGAGGCCATGCAGGGGCAACTCTGTAGGTTGTGTTTTGAGTCCAAGTTTGTTTGAGCATTGCTTCTTCCCAGGTGCCCTGTGGTGAGATGGGTAAAGGGCTAATCCTATCATGCCTTAATCCCATCACCCTGGAGCTGAAGGGGGAGATCTTTGTTATGTAGAATAGACTGGCTCAGGCCTTTTAATGGCCCATTGACAAAGGTGGGGGCTATTAAGAGTGAGTCTGCTTCCTGCCTAAAAACATGTTTCTCCATTTCTTATCCAGGGAAATATAATATTCCGCCTTTTCAATATTTCCTAGGATATTTCATTTTTCGTCTAGGAGAGTGGTGGGTGCTAACTTCCTACAATATGAAATGCTGCCTAAAACCAAAATGCTGCTCTAAGTCCTTGTCTGCATTTATATAACCCTTTGACTCTTGCAAACAAGTATTTCTCCAAATGTCACATTTTGTCTCTCCTCCCTCCCTCCCTCCATCCCCCCCTCCCTCTCTCTCTCTCTCTCTCCCTCTCTCCCTCCCTCCCTCCCCCCCCTCTCTCTCACACATACACAGCTTCATCAACCACCTTTCACACTGGCAACTTGCTCTTGCTTTCCCTTCTCTGCTTCAACACAAAGAACTGCTACACCCTGCACTGGAATGGATTCCTGGCTTGAAACCTAGATATACACATATATTTTTCTTTTGCATGTGTGCACACATCTGTGGTTTGATTTTGTTTTATTTAAACTCATTCTTTTGGTATCAACATTCTTCTGTGACTCTACTGGACTAGACAGTTTGACAACATGAAGCAATCCTCAAACAGAGACAGTAGCAAGAGCCAATCTGGGTCGGTCACTGGACCAGAGGTTTTTCTCTTGCAAGCTTTTGGATGCGTGCTGGGACCCACCCTCTCTACTCTAGCCTCTCTCTAGCTAGAAAGAAGGAAGTTCCCTGAACATGGGCTCCAGCACAAGTCCAAAAGTTTGGAAGACAAAACTTCTGGTTCCAGTGACTGGCCCAGATTGGCTCTTGCTGTTGCAGATTTGTCCTGGGACACATATGTTAGTCTTTATTCATGACAGCGGGAAGAATTGGACTGAAGGGCCTCAGAAGGACTGGAGTGACTCAGAAGGCCTTTTCCCTTAAAATGGGAAAAAGAGCAGAACGGACTATTGCCTGTTTCTTTAAGATCTTCCTTAGTAACTATCAACCACCAAGGTAGTTTCAACTTAGTGTGAAAGATTGCTAGGCAGGGGAAATACGCATTGAGGCATCGTCTACTAAAAAGCAAGCATGTGGAAAAGCTTTTGCTTATTTTTTTTATAGGGATGTTTAAATGTTATTGGGGAGAGGGTAGCTGAGGGATAGAACCCCTCCTTTCCTATGGACCAAACTTGGAGATCCTTCCTGTAATCGGAACAGTTCTTCTCTGGCCCAAATCAAAGTGATTGGCGGGTGGCCAAAATGGAAAAAGATAGGGACCAGGCAGCTCCATTGAATATAGATATCAGAGTTGGGAGGGACCTTATAGGTCATCCAGTCCACCCTCTGCTGAAGCAGGAGACCCTACACCATTTTTGACATATGGCAGCCCAGTCTTTTCTTGAAAGCTTGCAGTGATGAAGCACCCATAACTTCCAGAGGCAACTTCTGTTCCATGGGTTGATTGTTCTATCCTGTCTCCCCTTCTCCGATTATAATCAATACCCTTTTTGTGGAGAGACCCATGGAGCATCAGGGCTGTTTTCTCCTCTAATATTGATTGGAAGGGGAACTAGGACAGACACCCGTTCCCCCACCCCAAAAGTGCTTTAGAATGACACACTGTGGAATTGATAGCTGGCCCTCTGTGCCACAAGAAGCCAATACCTGGAGCACTCTGCTATCTACATCCTGCTCATAGAGAGTTGATATATTAAAGGAAAAGGAGAATCTGTCAATCAATATTCATTAGTCATGATATCGAAATACAAGCTCCATATTCAGAAGTAGGGTATTCCTGAATACCACAGTGTAAATAAGTTATTGCTTGTGTGTTCTCTTTGTGGGAATCTGGTTGGGTCATAGGATTGACTTTAGCCGTGAGTTTTCCTAATTATTTTATAGCTGTGAATCAATCCACTGAATTTTTAAAAAATCTCCCTCTACCATCTAGATCCTAACTCCGGCCGGAACCACAATGTGATCAACGTCATCATCCCCGAGAGCCGGGCTCATTTCTTCCACCAGCTGGGCTATGTTCTGGCCACTCTCTTGCTCTTCATCCTGCTCTTGATCCTTGCAGTTCTCGTGACTCGCCAGCACCGCAGGAGAGGTGAGCTCAGGCATCGGGTACTCCTTCACTTTCCTCCTCGTTTTATAGGACCCCACTTTCTCCTGGGAAGATAGAACTGTGGTTATCACATGAATGAATGGCCCCTCCCATAGGAAATAAAAGAGGAGTAAAAGGGGAGTGGAGTTTGCAGGAGACAATTAGTTCGCTTAATTGGTTTGTGACTCTCCGAGACTCCTTGCCAAGTTCTGCAGCTATCGGCCTGGCAGCTCTCCAAGCCAAATAAGGTCTGTGACCATAAATCCTCCCTTGAAAGACTTGGCTGTATGTGAGTGAGCAGAATTCACAGTCAATTAATAAAAGGGGGTTTTGTCAGGACAAGGAGTTTGCTTCATGCTCTTGGGAAGCCTAAGTTAGAACAAATGGCTGACAATGCTGGGAGGACAAAATGGCAGCTGCCAAGAGACAATTGCCAAAAAATGAGGCAAAATGACACAAAAAGCATCTTCTGTTGCCACAAGTAGTGTCAAAAGAAAAAGAAAATCCAAATACCCATTTCACTAGGGCCTAATTTGGACATGAATGTATATCCTTCAATGAAGCTCCCTATCATATCAACTCTTAATATGTTTATTTCCCTTTAAAAAATTATCTGTGTGACTTCAATATGCTGTTCTTGTTTATCTGTGCTGACAAGTGTCCCCCTGGATATGTGTTGATATCTGTTCTTTTCTATTTTTAGGCTTTCAATACAATATGAAAAAATACGATGAGTAAGTAGACTCATATTCCAAAGATACAATACGATCCTAGAGAACTTTTCTCAAAATAGCTATAATGAAAGCTGAGAAACTTCTGCATTCTAATAGCCATCCAATTTTGGGGTGCTACTCAGATAACCTTTCACTATTAATTATGTAAAATGTCCACATGCTTGTGGTTTTGGTATCGACAAATTGATAGAAGCAGCAATTGGAAATATATCGGAGAAAGATTGGTTGCTGATATGCTACCCTGATAGTAAGACTTGCAGCAATCGAAACAATACAATTATAATTTTGCACTTGTATTTCCAGGAAGGAGCTGACTCTCAGGGAGGTTCCATTGGATGCAACAAATTTGTCAAATTACAAAAGTGAAGATTTTAAATTGGGTAAGTCTTGGAGGATGGAGGGTTTGAGGAGGAGGTGCTTCCACATGTTTCATTGCCACATACTGACCCTACACCATGCAGTCGTTTATTTGGTTTGGCATTAGCACAGTGTGTGAACAAACCACTGCATTGTGCAAATCCTACAGTTCCTCAACAAATTTTGGTTAAAAAAAAGTCAAAAGGCTTGCTCCATACGTGAATTCACTCCAAGCGGGTCTTCACCCTGAAGCAGTGGCTTTTTCAGTCTCACGTACTCATCAATCTGCATGATTTTATTTATTTATTTATTTTGATTTAGTTTGTCAAACATGTACGAGATAACAGGCGTGTATAAACATGGATATGAGCACGTGAAAGGAGTACAAATAAATGGGGACAATAGGACAGGGATGGTAGGCATGCTGGTACGCTTATGCACGCCCCCTTACAGACCTCTTAGGAATGGGGTGAGGTCCATGGTAGACAGTTTGAGGTTGAAGCTGTGGGGGTTAGAGGAAGTAACAACTGAGTCAGGTAGAGCATTCCAGGCGTTGATCACTCTGTTGCTGAAGTTGTATTTTCAGTATTTTCTTCCGTCTCACATACTCATCAATCTGCATGATTGCCGAACTTTAACCTGAAGATTTAAGATCTAAAAAACAATCCTACTGCCTCCCCTCATATCCTGCTCCGTCCCTCCCCATCTGTTAAACTGCATCTTCACTTGGATTGTAATTCTACTTTTATGGTTTGTAGAAAGAGAAGAAAGAAAGAAAAA